AAGGTCACCAGCCATTCAGGCTGTACAAGAACATACAGCAAATACCAAACCTTTAGAGGTACCAACAGCCCTACCTTTAAAATGGCTAACTGAGAAGGCAATATGGACCAAACAATGGCCTCTAGCTGAAGATAAACTACAGGCATTGGAACAGCTGGTGCAAGAGCAACTAGATGCTCACCATATTGAAGAATCAACCAGCCCTTGGAATTCTCCTGTGTTTGTTGTAAAAAAGAAATCTGGTAAATGGAGAATGGTGACAGATCTAAGAGCTGTCAACAAAGTAATTCAACCTATGGGCCCACTACAATCTGGAATTCCTTTGCCTTCTCTGTTACCAAAAGGATGGCCTCTTATAGTTATTGATTTGAAAGATTGTTTTTTCACTATACCGTTACAAGAAAAGGATAGAGAAAAATTTGCCTTCACAGTGCCTACTTATAATAATTCTCAGCCTAATAGGAGATATCAATGGACTGTCCTCCCACAGGGTATGCTCAATAGTCCTACACTGTGCTAATATTTTGTAAGTAAGCCATTGGAAATAATTCGTAAACAATTTCCAAGTCCATCATTTATCATTACATGGATGACATCTTGTTATCTGATTCAAATAAAGATACTTTAGAAAGGTTGTTTGAAGAAGTAAAGAAAGTCTTGCCTAGGTGGGGATTACAAATTGCCCCTGAAAAGATTCAAAGAGGAAATTCTATTAATTACCTAGGTTACAGAATAGGGTTAGAGAAAATTAAAACGCAAAAGGCACAAATTAGGAGAGACCGGTTAAAGACTCTTAATGACTTCCAAAGATTGTTAGGAGACATTTCCAGTCTACGACCAGCTGTTGGGATAACACCTGATCTAATAGTTCATTTAAACAAAACCTTAGATGGTGATAAAGATTTGAATAGTCCAAGAGAACTGACAGCTGAAGCAGAAAAGGAACTGACAATGATTGAGGAAAAATTACAGGAGGCACACGTGGATAGGGTGAACCCAAATCTTAGCTGCATCCTAGTCATATTGCCTCCCAGGCATTCGGGATTAAAGGTGTAAGCTACTACACCTTGAACTCACAGAGAGAGGACTACTGAACTTGCCTAAGGTGAGATGATCTTTTGGGGTTCCTGATTCATGAAAGAGTCTGCGAGACATTCTGCAGGACACAACAGATAGTGACTGAACTGACTTTGAATTTTCCTGCTTTATGGAAATGTCTGCTGAATACCATGGGCCTGAAGGCTGAAGATGGATGCCCCAACGGTACAGAGGAACTTTGGGTGACTGTCCAGGCAGCGAGATGTCTCTGTCATTTCTAGAGTTTGAAAGTTGCTTTTTTCTTGTTTGCTTAGGTAGTATTGTATCTTTCTGGAGTCTTTGATGGAGTTAAGAATAGTTAGTTATAGTTTTCCTTAGTTATGATAAAGATTATTGTAACTTTTACTTGATAACTGTTTTGTTATATGTAATTTTGCTATGTTAAAGTTAAAGCCTTTTTTTTTTTAAACTGAAAAAGGGGAAATGATGGAGGAAGGTCATTGGCTAATAAAGGAACTGCCTTGGCCCATTTTATTGGTTAGGACGTAGGTAGGTGGAGTAAACAGAACAGAATGCCGGGTAGAAGAGGAAGTGAGCTCAGAGTCTCGACAGCTCTCCTTTCAGGAGCAGACGCCTGAGAGAGATGCCATGCTCCTGGCTCCTGGGCAGACGCACGCTATGAAGCTCCGACCCAGGATGGACATAGGCTAGAATCTTCCCGGTAAGCGCACCTAGGGGCGCAACACAGATGATTAGAAATGGGCTAAATTAATATGTGAGAATTAGCGTAGAAGAGGTTAGATAGAAATGGGCCAAGCGGTGTTTAAAAGAATACAGTGTCCGTGTAATTATTTCGGGCATAAGCTAGCCAGGCAGGCAGCCCGGGTGCCTGGGACGCAGCCCTGCCACCCCTATTACTACAGGAACAGGGCCTCAGGAAAGAATTCTCTGAGGCACCATTTTACTCTGCTGAGTGTGGAACAGAACTGTTGAGGTGTGGAGGGGGCAGTGAGACTGGAAAAGGAAAGGAAGAAAATATTCTGTGGGCACAGGGATCAGAATTTAAGTCCACAGAAAAAGCAAACACAGACAGGTAATGGTCATCTGGCAATTCCCTAATGAGTTTGTTAAGGAATCATAAATAATGTTTCAGATAAAAATCGCTTTATTTACTGGAAGTCCTAGGGGAAAAGTACTGAACAAATAAATTGAATATGAAAGACATAAACTAAAGTTACTGAATGAATACAATCCTGAAATCCCAATGAAACGGAGCTGGTTTTTGTTTATTTTGTTGCTGTTTTTGGCACCAGGGTGTAAGCAGAAACTGCTTGTTTGTTTCCTGGCCGCCCAGACCTGAATAATCACACATAAACTATATTAATTACAACACTGTTTGGCCAATAGCTTAGGCATATTCCTAGCTAGCTTTTACATCCTAAATTAACCCATTTGTATTCATCTGTGTACCACCATGAGGCTGGGGCCTACCAGTAAGGTTCCCATGGCATCTTTCTCCTTTGGTAGCTACATGGTGTCTCCTTGACTCTGCCTACTCTCTCTATATACATCTCTGTTCAGATTTCCTGCCTGGCTATATTCTGCCCTGCCATAGGCCAAAGCAGTTTCTTTATTAGCCAATGGTAATAAAACATATTCATGGCATACAGAGGGGAATCCCACATCAACAGGGTCTCACTAAGTATCTTTGGTTGACCTGGATCTTAGAGATCCACCTGCTGCCGCCTCTGGAGTGCTGGGATTAAAGCGCTCCACGGTGTCCAGTTCTATGTTGTTTGAAGGTTAAGGAAAGTTGCTCTGTTCTGTTTCTACAAGTTACAGACTACGTCATATATTAGCTTTAGATGATGGTATGTTTTGGAAATATAAATTGGCAATGATTTTAGTAGGCTACTCTATCATCTAAAACAGTACGTTGATTTTTGGCTTTGGAGTTTTTATTGAGACAGGGGCTTGTTATGTAGCCCAGGTTAACCCGGGTCTCACGATCCTCCTGCCTCAGCTTCCTGAACTCTGGGATGACTGTCATGTGCAACCACACGGGCTCTAAAACAACTCTCCCAGAGATGGCCTAAGAATGCAAGCTCGAATCCTTCATTAGTTCTCATTATCTTAAAAACTATTTTCCTGGCCAACTCCCCCAGAGTAAGAGAGTCTTCTGAGTCACACACTCTCTCTCCTCTCAGGTTACCATGCTGAGAAAGGAGACCATCAGTCAGCCAGGAACACGTCACCCTTCTTTGTCCTTCACAGAGCAGCCACGTGGAGTACAGAAACCAGAGTCCACTCTTAACTGAACAAGTAAGAAACACCTTCAGAGAAGTGAGGTAGTTTCTCCACAGAAGGACGGTAACAGAACCTGGGTTATAGCCCAGAGCCGAGCTTGGAAACACTGATAATGGTCTTCCTTAGAAACATGAAGCTGCACACACAGACTCGAGAAAACATGTTACAATCCCTTTTAAAGTATAAAAAAAACGAGAGATAAACAAACTAATATGCTCGAAAAATCCTCAAAAGCGTAGTCAGTCATTTAAAATCCCTTCTCCGGGTTAGCGTTTGTGCACTCAGTGACGGAGAGCAGGCACGCCAGCATGAGGCAGACCAAGAGCAGTCTCATCTGCTCTCCTGAGATGAGTGGGAAGTGGGACACCATCATCTCCAGACCTGTGGCGACTCGACGAGAGGGACAACGGGATAAACCTAGCAGAGTCCATGAGTGGCTCTTAGGTAAACAAGATGCACAAAGGGAATGCATGCATGGCACAGAATCCAGAACTGCAGCCCCAGTCAGAGGAAGCTCAGAGCTTAGCTGCTCATGCTCCAAATACTGACAATGCCTGTTATATACCAACAGATCTAAGTCTTAGGGAAATACAGGCATACAAGATGCACAGTGAGCTATGAAAGAATCTCAGTGGAAGCATGCACAAGGCCCTGGGTGCAATCCTCAGTTGAGGAGGTCTCTGTCCTTAAGTATTTTACTGAGTAGGAAGGGAAGAAACCACAACCAAACACACAGACACGGGAGACCAAAAGCACTGTGAAGACGATGGACCCCGAGAAGGATGGCTTGCTTGGACAATCACTAGAACAGTGATTAAGCAAGTAAGCACTCATTACTCAGCCCACTGAAGATCATTCCAGGCAGAGGGAGCCGCAGGCTTGGGAGGCATGAGGGTCAGATAGGAGTGTATTCTGGCAAGGAGGAGAATGACAGCAAGCCTGCATGCAGCCAAGGCAAAAAGTTTATATACAAAACAACACAGAAGTGATTGAGAGGCCACTAAGCGGTCAGAAGCAGCAGATCAGCAAAACCTGTTCTAAGCTTTTAAAAGCTCGGGCAGCTCAACAGATCGGCAACAAGGCAAATGGGCTGAATGAATTACACTTGGGAGCTGAGTATGGGGTTCACTTGGTAAAGTGTCTACCCAGAACACATAGGGCTAGGTCAGTTTCCAACAGGGCATAGAGGCATGGTGACACACGTCTGAAATCCCACTACTCAGAAGGTGCAGTCAATAGAGTCGCCTTCCCTGGCTACGCAGTGAGTTTGAGATCAGCCTGCCATACAAGAGACTGTTTCAATCAGCCAACCGAACAACAAAAAGGATAACATGCCCAAATAAAATACATAAGCATGAAGTCTAAATCTCTCATTGATTATTATATTCTTTCGATCTTTAGTGGTTAAAAAAAAGTAATCAATTGAACATACACACTTCCTGCTTACAAAACCCACAAAGGCTAGGAAGAAGACATTTTAATTGAAATAACACAGATTTAAATTTCTGCTTAACCAGTTTAAACATATCAAAGCGATTTTACTCAAAACATCTGTAAGTATGGCAATCTTTTTCTGTACTCTATTTTGCCCCAAGCTACCAACTAAATTGTAATAATCGTGGCCATGTGTTCATAACTGGAAATGCTCATCTTACCCTATGAATGCTGGTCAGCCGGGAACTCTGCAATTAGTTTTGATCTGAGGAATTCCTGAAGAGAAATCATATGCACATTGTTATATTTTATGCATCCTAGGACTGCAAGACCATTTTTTACTTACATGGTTCTCAAACTCCCAACATACCTAAACATTTTGTTAAACACATAAAAATGAAACTTTTTATTTATTTATTTATTTATTTATTTTTGAGACCAGGTTTTGCTGAAGTTTTCGAGCCTGTCCTGGAATTAGCTCTGTAGACCAGGCTCACCTTGAACTCACAGAGATCCGCCCGCCTCTGCCTCCCGAGTGCTGGAATTAAAAGCAAGCACCACCAATGCCCTGTTCAAAAATCCATCTTTTAAAAAACTTGAGGCATGGGCTGGAGAGATGGCTCAGAGATTAAGAGCACTGGCTGCTCTTCCAGAGGTCCTGAGTTCAATTCCCAGCAACCACATGATGGCTCATAACCATCTGTGCTGAGATCTGGCGCCCTCCTCTGGCTTGCGGGCATACATCGAGGCAGAATGTTGTATACATAATAAATAAATCTTTAAAAAAAAAAAACTTGAGGCAGAGATGATGGCCTTTGACCTTTCAGTAAAGGTCAGCAGACACTCGAGGCTGCTCACAGCAGTCACTCACAAGGCACAAGACATAGTTCGTTTTAAAAGAGAAAGAAACACAGTATCTGAGGCATTGATCCTTATTTGTTTTTTACAAGTAAAAATATCTTCGTGAGAGTTTCCTCCGTGGAGTTTGCTACTTTGTCACTCCTGGCCTGCAGCGCACAAAGATGCCACCATGAAGCTCCACAGGCATTATGTCCAGATTTCCTCCGTACCCTCATGCGCCTTTTCATTTCTGATAAAGCATTACAAATATTTCACTCTTAAAAGCCACTCCCTGTTCATTGCTAGTAAGGCTACAGATGTCTCTGAACTAGGCTTATATGACACGCCCTCTTCCTTCTTCCCCTTTGGGAACTGAACCTAAAACCTTGTCCATGGTAAGCAAGCACTCTACCATGGAGCTACATCTTCTCCTTCACCCTTGTTCATGTGTTTCTTCTGCTGAGAATTCTAAACTGAGAGCTGTGGGCCAAACAAAACGTTTAGTTTCTCACACATAACGTCAATTGATGCCCCACCCTCTTACAATGTTACACCAATAATTTTTCTGGTCGGCAGGCTATCGGGTGACTTTGGAATAGATTAGGGCTTATCACTGAAACCCCGTCAAAAACAAACAAAAGACACCTTCACTAACTCCACACATGAAAAAGAATCTTCCTGCCGCTCCACTTTGCCTACTTCGAAAGGTAGGTTGCACAACCCACTGGGTCTATTAACTGAGTCCCACTCCTCTATTCAAACTCACCAGCACCAGAGCCGTCTCTTGTCAAAGAAGCAGATGCAGAGCTCTGGGGAAGCTCTCATAACGACTACCTGTCATCTCAGGATGAAGCCACCGCTGAAAACTAAAAGCGATGTGCCTCAGTTTCTTTATCCAGGCTAAATAAATCATCCAGACTAATTTTAGAAACCGTAACCACAGTTATCCCCTTTCTTCCTCCTCAGCAGAACATTAAAGTACTGAGCTGGAAGAATGAAATGTGAAAATCCTAAATGGCAATGCTGCTCAGAATAGAATAAATCGTGCACTTTAGGCAGGATAAAACGGGGACAAAGATGGGCACAGCAATTCTGACAGGCCAGCTGCAGAGACAGGCAGCTCTGTTATCCAACTTCACTATGCTAATGAGTTACCAAACTAGCTCCATGTATACCACCCCCGGGCAGAGGCAGGACACACGCGTGTGTACTTTGAACTTGAAAACTCAGCCCTGTGACAGCCTAAGAATGGACTCTGGCAGCTAGAGAGGCCAGGCTGCTGAGACTTTTCCCTCCCACCTTCCAAAGGTTCCCCCACCCAGTTCAGAAATCCCTTCTAAGAGATGTAGAAGAAAATCCTCATTCTCCCAAGAGACTGAGGATTAAGGATCAGTTTTCTGATAGAAAAACAAAAGGCCCCAAGGTTATGACTGCATGAGGGGAGGAGTCGGGATGTTCCTGCTCTCTGCTGGTCCACAGGGATGGCAGAAACTGACAGCATACACCTGTGCAGCAGAGCAAAGGGCAGCCACACAGTCCTGGAATCTTAACACAGCTGTCTTGTAGGGATAGGCACAAGAAACGTACAAGATGAAAGATGGAGCAAAAATCAAGATAAGGGTGGGAGTCGAACCCAAGGCTTTGACCAGGCGAGTGTTCTACCACTGAGGTACATTCCCAGCCCAGAGCTCACAGTCCTATGACATCACTATGCACATTGCATTCCAGAAATGGCAGGAATCACAGCACCACACTCTATCTTGTGCAATCTATATTTTAGGCTCTGATTATGTGAAACCAGAGTCTCACACATCTGATTACATCACTGATTTGAAAGGCTTCAAATCAAGGAGTTAAAAAGGGACATTTCAGCTGGGCATGGTGACACACTCCTTTAATCCCAGCACTCGGGAGGCAGAAGCAGGCAGATCTGAGTTTGAGGCCTGCCTGATCTCCATTCCATCACCTGTCCTGCCTCGCACGGTCAGGCGACACTGCCACACCCAACTGACCGGCTAAGTTCCTGGCTCTACTTCCCTCAGACTGCTTTATGGTACATGTTAAACTAAGATCCCAAGTCCCTTGAGGACTAATTCAGTCTCTGGTTTATCTGTATCATAGGGACCCATCCCAGAGTATTTTCAATGGCTAGATGGAGGGGTGTTGACAGGACCTGCAAGGAAGACAAGGACATGGCTGTGACTTCCTTCTGGTTAGCCAGGATCCTGAGAGCTGACACAAAGGGAAAGTAAGAGAGGTTCCCCGCACCCCCCCCACCCCCCCGCCCCAGACTGTTCCTATTTAGCTCCTGGCTACTCCTCTAAAAATGTGATGGGGATGGAGAGAGGATTCCCTGGAAAAAAGGCACCAATTGCATTTCCAGAGTTCCCGGGTTCAATTCCCAGCAACCACATCATGATTTATAACTAGTGCTGCTCACATGTGATATAAAGCCAAAATGCAGGTAAAACTCTCAGATATATAAAATAAAAAATACTTTTTTTCAGATATTAGGCTCTGATTTTGTAAAATCATATGAATGAATGGTCTGAAGACAGACAAACGGTCTGAAGAGGCCCTGAAGTTAGTGAGCCCTACGGAGAAGGGCTCAGACAAGCTGGCGGGTCCCATGTCTGCCCCGACGGCAGGGGAGTTACTTTGAGTGCCATTACTGTGTCACTGCATGACACCAGACCGTAATGGATCTCATTACCCAGTTAGGAACCAAGAGCATATAGATGGCTTGGCTCTCGGAAGGCTGTGCAAGCAGAGGCAGGCCACATATACAGTGTGTGCAGTAGAGAACAGGAGGGGCAGGCCATGGCAGAGCCCGGGGCGTTTTCATCACCCACAGCAGGTGCAGTCAACAGATGCAGAGTCCAGCCCCCAGGAAGCATGCTTGTCGAGCACCCACTGGACAGGACATTTCGTTTCTGAAAGCAGAGCTGCCGTGGGACTCAGCATGACTGGCTGCATTATGATGGCTGCAGGTTATTTCGAATGCGATGGACCCCTGGATAACGCCACAGCACTCCTAAATGACCTTAGCATCTTACAGATTAGGGTTGTATAATTATTCTTTCACTTGAGTGGCCTTAGGCTACAAGAAGGAAAATTCTAAGATGAAATGAGAGCATGTGATTATCAAGTCAGAATATTGCCTGTTCCACTACACTGTGCTTAATTCTGTCTTCTTCCTCCAAGACCATACCTACTGGGGGACCAGAAACTTTTCTTGTATCTCACGGCTTGCCAAACACGATTTGCTCCTAAACATTGTAATTTCACAACCATATGAGCTAAGACCAAGTTGACAATGTTGCATGTCCAGGGGATAATTTTAGTCTCTTAGAGCAAATCACCTCTGATGGGATCACCGCGAGGAAAGCTGTGTCTGCTATAATAGACTCATGAAACAATACCAAACATCCAATGTTTAAGGTAATAAAACTAAGGTTTAATGTTCGCCTATGGATAAATGGCCACAGAACACTAAAGTTACGTACTTCTTTTTTGGTTGAGGCAGGGTCTCATATAGTTCACAATGGCCTCAACATTAACATAGCCAAGGCTGACCCTGAACACCTGAACTCCCGCCCCCACCTCTGAGGGTTAAGATTATGGATGTGTATCATCTGACCTGACGCTGAGGTGGTGGAGCTGAGGACTCAAGGCAGCACCCTACTGCTTGGGCTGTTATTTCCGGCCCCCATTAGAACGAGCCCTACAGCACAACCTCCCCAGTCACAAGTCACACCACATTTTGTCCTTCGTTAGCTCTGGGAACACTGATGCCATACTACTGTTGAACCGCATCCCAGATATCTGGTGACACACTCAGCTGCCTCCACCTGGGAGCTGTCTGCAGGACAAGGCTAACACACAGCAGTCCCCACCTGCTGAATGGAGAGGGCTGTCAGGGTTACCTGGCAGTCAAGGTAACCACTTCCTGTGCACCTTGTCAAGAATGGCATGAATAAATTAGTTACTTTTCTGTTCCTAGACAGCGGCAATTTAAAGAAAAAAAGAGTTTATGCTGGGCGGTGGTGGTGCATGTCTTTAGTCCCAGCACTCGGGAGGCAGAGGCAGGCGGATCTCTGTGAGTTCGAGGTCAGCCTGGTCTACAGAGCTAGTTCTAGGAAAAATCCAATAAATAAATAAAGTTTATTTGGACTCAGGGTTCTAGATAGCACGGTTAAGATTCCATCGTGGAGGGGGAAAGAAGCAGCACGCATCAGGTAAGGCAGCAGAATAAGACGCTGACTGCTCACGTGCCAACTCAGTGGCACAGGTGAGGCCTTAAGCTCTCAAAGCTAACTCCTGTGACAAACTTTCTCTAGCAAGGCCGTTTCTCCTCTGCACCACCTCCTGGGGACCAAGTGTCCAAGTGCTTGAGGCCAAGTTCAAAAGCAAATCCAGAGTTCACACTAGCTCTG